AGTGTCCCACAAGAGTGTCCTACAAGAGTGTCATTTGGACATATGAAGCTTTTTGAACGTGTTTGCATTCGGGTTCGTGGTTCCATCTTGTTCATATTTTTTTCCTAACGTGGATGCTATCATTTGCTATGTTTCCTAATTTGTATTATTTTGATCACACCCAATGGAAGCTTAACTTCAACATAAGTTTACATGGCTTCACCGCTGAGAAAAACTTACCTTTGATGACAGCTGGCCTAGAAGTTGTCATGGTTGTCGACATTATTGTTTTTCCCAAAAAAAACGTAGCTGCTGCCAGCTTCTTTTGGTCTGCTGTATTCTCAGTGAGACTTTGATGCTGAGGTCGGCAGTATGGTTGAGACTAGTGACTATTGCCCAAGTGTTCTCTTTCTCATGCGTTATAAGAACAAGGCTCTGTTCCCCGATTGAATATGAACGCAGGGTGCATATTTAGAGAGGGACATTTGGCCGGATCAGTTCATTGAGAAAAAGTGAACAATGTCAAAGACCGCTCCTCAAGATCGGAACATCTGGAAATAAGATCAGCACGGGCACATGTCAGACTACTTAACAGAAATAAATACAAGGACCTAAAAGCCTAAGAGACACCCTGGTCAAGTTCTAGTCTTCTGTCATTTTGTTGATGCAGCCTCGTAATCGCCTTGGCGCAAAGAAAGTTGGTGATTGGTTGGCGTGGAGAGCCTTGAGTGTTGTAACACATGGTCATGCTGTATCTTGCCAAATGCCTTCTCTCAATCGGTGCCATGAATAGATCAGCCTTCTGCTCGTCAATCCCGTGATCAGGGCAAGTTGTGATGCTCTGCTGTCAACCCGAGACTGCTGTCTGGCTTCGACCAAGTCATGACTTGAGGTCTTTCTTCTCATGGAGTTGTACGAAGTGGATGCTTTGGGTTTGAGATCAAACCACCGCCAACTTCTGACGGTTGTAACAGAGTATCTTGATTTCTTTCTGGTTGCGCTGGCAAAGGTGTTCGCCACATGTAGGAACTGGAACTTGAGAGCCGGCTGTCTTCCAAGCCGCCAAGTGGAGGGTGCCTGGCTCAGGTTGTTGGAGGCTCTCTCCTCAAGGGTGTGACGGGGCCTGTGCACCTGTGCTGCTTGAGAGGATCGATGCCACTTGCTGGTCTTGCCAACCAATGCTTCCAGCGTACCGGTTCTCCCGTGGGGTTGTGAGACGAAGCAATCCTGTTTGGTGTGTATCTGAAGCTGGTCCTAGCGCACCAAGGTTGAAGGAAGCAAGGAAGAGACAAAGAGAGAGAGAGAGAGAGAGCGAGCGAGCGAGCGAGCGAGCGAGCCAGCGACGGACGGACGGACGGAGAGGGGGAGAGAGGGCGAGGGAGGGCGAGGGAGGGAGAGGGAGGGAGAGGGAGGGAGAGAGAGAGAGAGAGAGAGAGAGTTAGAGTTTCCTTTGATCTGTGTGCAGTAGCGCCCCCGCATGAGAGCGGTCGTCTTTCTTGCATCATTTGCATCTTTGTTTGATCTCTTTGTGCTCACAGGTTGTGATGTGGCCCAAAAAGGATGGCCATGTGCAAGGCAACGAGAGCAAGTTTGGCCAGCATGTTGACAAAACCATGCCCGCCGATAAGTCAAAATGATGCTAAATCATGGTGGACATCTCAATCTTCTCTCCACAAATGGTACACAAACTCCGAAGACCACTGGGACCAGTTCAGGCGGATCGGAATCCAAAAATGCGGTCTTTCAGAAGTATTTATATAATAGCTTAAAACCTGAACCTCACTGAATGGTGACCCCCCCGACCAATCTTGGTATCGCAAGTGCAGCTCCAGCCAGCTAATATTGCGTGAAAACACAAAGTCGACGTTTCGGAACGCCTTTTTACCTTGAGCCAAAACACGTCGTAGGTCGCGTGTCTGCAGTACCCTAGCGGAGTATTTATGGGCTGTACGTGCAAACACTCCTCCTCTTGCAAAGCACTGTACTGCTGCGCAAGTCAAAGAAAACAAGTGAAACATCCACATTGCTATGCCACTCTCAGCTATGGTAGTGGAGCTTGGCCAGGGACCTTACTCCAAAACATCTAGCTGTCCCTTGCTTCTTTTGCCGAGGAAGATGTATTTCAAACCTTCCATCGTCTTTCGAAACTGCACCCCAGGGACTGACTTTGTGAGAACGTCAGCCTTGTTCTTGACTCCTGGAACATGGTGCACTTTCAAGTGGTCTTCAGCGACTCTTTCCTGCAACCACAGCCTGGCTTTGCCCAATCCAACTCGATTGACTGTGCCCTTGGCTGCATTAGAGTCTCCTTCTATGGCGACTCCCAGGTCCACACCCAGATCTGCACAAAGGCTTTGAAGTCCCAAGCCTACAGATCCGCCCTTGACGAGTGCATAGTACTCGCTCTCGCCGGTCGACAGGGCGATGGTGGACTGGATATTGCTGGGTGCCAAAAATGGCAACCATGCCAGTCGTGCTCTTTCGTGTCACAGCGTCGCCACCGTGGTCGGCGTCAACCTGGATCCTCAACTTTGAGGGCATTTGGTGCGATCCAAAGCACTGTCCAACATCAGGGTACTTCTTCAGATACCTGATTAAGCGCTTCAGGTCAGCAAGCTTTGCCTCGGTCGGTGACACCACACCTCGAGCGAGATTCTTTACTGCATGCCCAATGTCAAGTCTGTCTTGGGACAAGTATGCGGCTCGCATCGTGGCTGAGCGATACCGCGATGCCTCGCTCTTATCTAGCAGTGGACTGCGGCTCTCCAACATCTGTTGGTCTGCCGATTTCTTGACATCTGGTGACTCTACACCATTTGCCTTCTCCAAGCCAAATGCCTGGATCAAAAGATCGACATGTCTTCGGTTGGCTTCGATCACAATTGATCCCTTGCCGTTCTTCTTATCGACTCGGATCAACCGATTCAGTAAGTGTGCTTCTGTTCGGTCTCCATCCTCGTCTCCAAGAATTCCGAGACATTTCAGCTCGTAGGCGTCCTTGAGGACTTGACTGAGCTTCTCCAAGCGCTGGCGTCCCCAAGTGCTAGGAAGTCATCTCCATGCACCATGACTCGGACGTCCCAGGCTTCTTGGTAGAAGACTGACGCATTTGACAAACCTCTGCGGAAACCAGCCAGATATTCGGAGCATCCTGCGTCCCGTACATTGACTTTACGAGAAGTCCACAGGTCTGTCCGTCTTTGCTGGCTTCGTCCTCAGGCGGCAGCTCTATGTAGATCTTTCTCTTTGGAGTTCCGTAGAAGGGTGCTCGTGAGATGTCCCACAAGCCCAGCTTCAGTGGCTGGTTGCGGTGTGACTTTCTCTTTGTTGCCCACAGCGAACACAACAGTCTCATCGCCTCCAAAGGGGGCGTGCTGCTGAAAAGCAAGTTGGCTGGCAACTGTTCTTCCTTAGTCTTTCTTGCCTTTATCTCACGCACAACTAATCGGCTCCTATAGTTTGGGTTTGTTGGGTCTCCCTTGTTGGTGTCCAACCACCTGACTGGGATCGGGGGCTTCCCCGTTTCCTCAAAACACTCGGCTCTTGGCCTTGGCACATAGACGCCATGCTTCTCTTTCAGGCAGTCCATCTCAAGGCATCTTGCCTCCTTCACTTTCTCGGCTGGCAAAATGCCGCCATTCACATCAGCCATGTAGACCTCTTCGAACTCTGGGTCCATCAGAGGCATCTCTGGAACTGGACCTGCTGCGAACAGATCGAAGGTGTTCTCTTCCTGCTCCAAGATGTACTCGAGGATTTCTATGAACTCTCTCCCAAAAGTGGTTACAAACAAGTTGTCTATTACTCCTAGCCCACTTTCGGAATTCCCCTTCAACATTCCCAAAATTCTCGGGGCGTCCCAACCCTTTTGTATCCATGAGTATTTGGGACTTCCGTCTATCCTCCTTCCTTTCAAGGCTCTTTGCAAGTTCCCCCACTGCAGAAGCCAACATGGTTACCCCTCCTTGTGACTCTCGTAGTACCTGGTTTTCCTGTTCCAAACGTGCCTGGTTTTGCTGGAGCTGCAAAACCATATCAGACAACTGTTGTACCTGTTGTTCTAAAGCCATGGTTTGGGCCCGGTCCCAAACTCCCAAAGGCGCTGCTCTCGCACCTTTTCAGCTGCGGACGGTTCGTCCGATCTCCGGCCCCTTACCAGGCCGGTCCAAGCACTTTCACCCTTGGGAAGTTTCAGGAGGAGGTTTTGGGATCTCGCGGACCTCTGAAGTGGTCCGGGTTCCCGCAGAGGTCATCTGGATTGCGGCCGATTGCAGGCGCCGCTTCGGCCTTTGCCTTAGCCTTTCCTTTTGCCTTGGGCTCAACTTTTGCTTTGGCACTTGCCCCAAGCCTTGCTGGACCTTTCAATCCCCTCTTCTTGATGTAGGCTTGGACGGCAGGAAGCTGCGCTTTCTTGCGCTCGTCGCAGCTGCTGCAAGCTTCGAAGGAACCACGCTTGCCCTGCTCGTTTGGCGTCTTCCAAAGCTCCCTGATTGCAGCAAGCGCCACAGATCCCTTCAAGCCCCTTTGTTCCACCAGCTCGTCAGCTGCGATCTTCCTTACCTGGAACGGACTTTCCAACTTCCAGTTCTCGATGCGCTGATTCTGAGCTCGTTGATTGGCCAGGGTGACAATCCTGAAATTGAGCTCTAAAGCTCGGCCCCAAACTGCTCTACCCCGACTTGTATCGCGGCTTTGAGGTCGACGGGTCGGTGGCGGCCCTTCTGGGGTTTGAGGCTGTCGCACAGGGCTGCGACTCCTGCTCTTCAATCTCACTCCGGAAGGCTCTTCTTCCGACAGGCTCTCTGTCTTCTCTTCTTCGTCGGCTGGATCAGCCGCTTCACTCTTCTTGACCTGCCCGTACCTGATGCGCTTCTCTTTGCGGCGGACTTTCTGTTCTTCCCGCTCTAACTTGATCTCCTGCGGTGGGCGTTCCTTGCCGAAGTCCTTGACGCGCCTCCTCAGGTCTTCTGTCTTCCGATACTGCAATGAAACTCTGCTTCGAGGTCAGAATCCGGATTTTGGTCCTGGGTGCTTCTTGACTTGGCCCCAAATCTGTTTCTTCACCTGCTTCCTCCACGGTGCCTTGGGATCGATCTTAGCTGGGGTGTATTTGGCGTGTGCGCCACGAATTTCCCAGCCGGTTTTGACACCTGTTGGACTTGTGATGAAATCGGCGATAACTCGGCCGCCCTGTGGCCGAGCGGCTGAAGCAGCCGCTTCGGCTCCCGGCTCGACTGTTGGATCTTGTTCAGGCTCTTCTTCTTCTTCTTCTTCTTCTTCTTCTTCTTGTGGTCCTTCCACTATCTGATCCTCTTCCTCTTTGGTCTCTGCGGTCTGATCGACCGCTGTAGTGGAATCTGCGGCCTGATCTGCTGATTCAGTGGACTCTGTTTAAAGGTTGTTCGGGCAAAGGCTTGTTCTCCTCCTCCTCTTTTACTTCTCCTTCTTCTTCTATCCCAACCGGGGCGGCAGAAGCTGCCGCTCCCGATGGTGCCTGCTCCTCCTCCTCGGAGCTTTCAACTTTCTTATATCCTTCTTCCTTTATGCGCAGCGCTTTGTCCCTGTCACTCTCACCGGACTCGTGCGCTACCATGAAAACACAAAGTCGACGTTTCGGAACGCCTTTTTACCTTGAGCCAAAACACGTCGTGGGTCGCGTGTCTGCAGTACCCTAGCGGAGTATTTATGGGCTGTACATGCAAACATTACAAGCATCTATTATATATATATATATGTGTGCGTGAGCATCGTTAGCCAAAAGGAAAGGAATGAACTAGCACCTTCTTTTCTGCCCTCAAGCTCTAAGGCCTTGACGTTGGGTCGAGGAAAGTATGCTGTCGGAGGCAAGTGGAAAAGGATCTTTGGGTCGGCGTACCTTGTAAACGTTTAACAAGTGCAAAGCAAAAATCACACATCCTTGTTTATGGCAGTCGGTTCCACGACCGCCGTGAGACTGTCATCATTTTTGGCGCTTTGCTTTGAGTGGATGCGTGATGGGTTGCGCTACGCCAGAGCGCAATGTTTTTCACCATCGAGCCCTACGAGATGTGGGGTGGGGTGAGGGTGGGGGGTAGGGTGGTGAGGATGAAATGCCCCGCAGCGGCGGCGCGGTTAACTCAGGGTGTTGTGGGGCTAAGAGAAAAAAGGCGCACGCGCTACACCACCGCAATGCTTTCGGCATACAATGACAAAATGTGGGGCGGTTTCAAACAAGCGTTGCAACGTGCTGAGACCACGCAAGCTTTAGATAGCTCCTGGAAAGCCATGAGACAAGTGGAACTCGCAGCGCTACACACGTCCTGGGAGGGAAAAAAGGTGATGGACTGCTACACACGTGCCTGTTTGACCATATGATGTCCACACTCTCTAAGAAAAACAAAATATCACACGCTTAGGAAATGCCTACTGAATTGAAAGCCACTCGCCACACGGCAACCTAGGCAACCATAACCCTGAGAATGTCATATGAAAGGAGTGATCATCACTAGTCATTAGGGGGCCAAGGTCAAACCACGAGGTACCCAAGCGACGACAGGGCGAGATGACGACGGACGTTCACATCTGCAGAGTGCATTAGCCCTTTATTGGAAAAGTGTAGTCACAGCGTGAGCAACAGTTCAAATATAAGCAGGTATGTAGTTCTGGCGTCCCGGAACTATATCACAGTGCAACAGATGCGTCTTCGTTGGCTCGGGACATCTGAAGCACACTCCAGCCCCCTGCTAATCTAAAGCGAACAAGTCAAAAAGTCAAAAGTAACGAACCAACGGATTCCCTGTGGTTCCAAGGGTTTCACACACTTATGGTTATGCGTACTGAACTGAAAGTGGTTTGCCACACGCCGGCCTAGGTTACCATTTCCTAAGAGTACAGGTAAGAACCATCGAGGCCTGGGGTCTTGAAAAGGAAGAGAGGCTCAAAGCGCAAGCCGAGGTCGAAACGCCAGGAAGCCCGTTAGCCCTGCACGAAATCTTAGAATTGTTGCAGGTACGTCCAGCTGGCCAAGCTGGATATCCCACCAGATTGCATAGCTTTGTTAGACACGGTCTGCAATCTGGCGCCGTGTCCCCCTCCGAACAAACAAGGTAAAAAGCCAGGCAGTACATTCCAAAAGGATACCTGTGATTTCAAGGGTCACACACACGCACGCCTCGCCGAGGGGAGGCTTCTCTTGTAGAAACGGTGAACCTCATCCTAGTAGCGTCTTTGCACCTAGTAGCAAGGCCAAAAGAAGGTGTTCCCAGCTACGACACAAGCGTCCAAGGACACACCAAGAGAAGAGAAGGGTTCCCAGCTATGACGAAAGCATCCAGGGACACAAAAAAAGAAGGAAGAGGGAGAAAGGGAAAAAAAAGAGAAAGAGAAAAAGAGAGGGAGAGAGAGAGAGAGAGAGAGAAAGAAAGAAAGAGAGAGAGAGAGAGGGAAAGGAGAAAAGGAGAAAAGGAAAAAATGAAAAAAGGACGCTACGCGCAAGCGTCCAGGGACACACCAAGGAGAGGGGTATACCTGAGTGTTACATTCAGGTAAACCCCAAAAAGGCGAAGAGAGAAGAAGGGGAGGGTAGGGGGGCTAAGGTCCCGACAGACTCCAACGAGCCTTGAACAAGCTTCGGCCGCTGCGGCCGCCGTGCCAAAATGGCTGGCAGCTTTGACCGCTACGGTCACGTCAAGCATAAGCCAGCTTAGAATTCAAAAATCGACAAAATCTGAGTTCTCTTGGCCTAGTCCACCTACGCCCGCTCTGGGCACGTACGTCTGCGAGCAGGGGAAATAAGGACAAACACCCGTTCGACGGGTCTACAGGGGCCACTCTTCGGGGTCACCCTGGGCTGGCATGAAGCCAGACACACTTATGATTATGCGTACTGAACTGAAAGCGGTTTGTCACACGCCGGCCTAGGTTACCATTTCCTAAGAGGTACAGGTAAGAACCATCGAGGCCTGGGGTCTTCAAAAGGAAGAGAGGCCCAAAGCGCATGTCGAGGTCGAAACGACAGGATCAAGCTCGTTAGCCCTGTACGAAATCTTAGAATTGTTGCAGGTACGTCCAGCTGGCCAAGCTGGATACCCCACCAGATTGCATAGCTTTGTTAGACACGGTCTGCAATCTGGCGCCGTGTCCCCCTCCGAACAAACAAGGTAAAAAGCCAGGCAGTACATTCCAAAAGGATACCTGTGATTTCAAGGGTCACACACACATGCCACTGATAGCCACATGCCACATGGGTAAGGTACATGGGTACGCGTACTAAACTGATAGCCACATGCCACACTCCCGCCTAGAAATGAACGAAAGAGTAAGGAAAACAGGGGTAAGGTATGTAAAGCGTTCTGACCATGAAACGTCCATGAACCCCAATAATCTCAAAGTTCTCAAAAAAGCGGAAGACAGCGACAGGATGACGACAAGCGCTCGCATCTGCAGAACTCATTAGCCCTTTGCTGGAGAGTAGAGTCACAGCCTGGTCAACAGTTCAAAACAAAGCAGGTACGTCTGGAAAGCGTCCTTTCCAGATATCAGCCACAATTGCAGCCCTCTTCGTTGGGCAATCAACTGCAATGTGGGGTTGCCCCCCTGCAAGTGGACTCAAACCTAAAAACCCAAAGGTTCCCTGTGACTCCAAGGGTTTCACACACACACCAAAAAAGAGGAAAACAAAAGAACATACACACACTTATAGAAATGCGTACTGATGTCAATGCGGTGCCACACGCCAGCCTAAGAACCCAAATCCTGAAAGGTCCAGGAAAGTCCTAAAGAGCCTGGGGGTCTTCAAGAGGAAGTGAGGCCAAAAACTCAAGACGAGGTCGGTCCGACAGGGTGACGGCGTTCCGTGTGTGACTGCAGCTGCATTAGCGCTTTACCAACAATTAAAAGTTGTGCAGGTACAGGAATGTGCGTCCACACTCCTTTCCAGCTGAATCCCATAGCTTCGTTGGCATGGCTAGGGAAACAGCTGCCATGCCCCCTACTAAATCGTGGTGGAAAAGTCAGTACAAAACAATTCAAAAGAACCCCTGTGACTACAAGGGGCACACACACACACGCCTCCCCGAGGGGAGGCCAAAAAATTAAGGCTAGGACGAACGTGCAATTGTGCGCGCAGAAAAGACAAAAAGGATGAAGACATGAGAAGGACGAGACGGGACAAAAGTGTGCGTGGTTGCGATGAAAGAGAAACCAAGTGCACAGGGACAACCGATGAGCCTCACCTCATTGTCGAGACCTGGCGACCTAAAACCTGGGTTGTAGATGTGCACGTACACGCTAAGGCCAGGACCGATGTGCGCGCAAACAAAGGAAAGGATGAGACGACGAAACATGAAGACAGGAGGACATGAAAGAAAAGAGGAAACAGAAGTGCGTGAAGGGGAAAGGATGAAAGGGGGAAGCAAATGGAGGGGACGAGAACCAATGAAACCAACCTCATTAGAAGCGCCTAGGGGCCTCGCCTCGTTTGATGTATGCGCTGTGTGTGCACCTGAGAGTGGGACAGGTTCCAACGAACCTCAAAAGATGCTTTGGTCGCTCTGACCACGTTGAGGTGTTAAGCCAGCTTGGACCGCTGCGGTCACGTAAAGGCATAAGCCAGCTTGGAATTCCAAAAGGATACGAAAATCAAAGTTCTCTCGGCCTAGGCCACACCTACGCTCGCTGTGAGCAGCTTTGTATCCGGCCAGGGGATACGTTCGACCAACCCCCGTTCAACGGGTCCACAGGAGGCACTCTGCGGGCTCATCCCCGGCTGGCACGAGGCCAGACACACTTATAGAAATGCATACTGATGTGAATGCGGTGCCACACGCCAGCCTAAGAACCCATATCCTGAAAGGTCCAGGAAAGTCCTAAAGAGCCTGGGGGTCTTCAAGAGGAAGTGAGGCCAAAAACTCAAGACGAGGTCGGTCCGACAGGGTGACGGCGTTCCGTGCGTGACTGCAGCTGCATTAGCGCTTTACCAACAATTAAAACTTGTGCAGGTACAGGAATGTGCGTCCACACTCCCTTCCGGCTGAATCCCATAGCTTCGCTGGCATGGCTAGGGAAACAGCTGCCATGCCCCCTGCTGAATCGTGGTGGAAAAGTCAGTACAAAACAATTCAAAAGAATCCCTGTGACTACAAGGGGCACACACACACGTTTGTGCAACAAAAAACATTCTTCCGGCCAGTGGGCGCTCCAAAAGCACTAGCAACTACAGCTGTGACATTTACACACGAGACTGTCTGTGGTTCAGCAAAATCTGATTTCGCCGCGGTCGTGGAGCCGGCACCCTTGTTTATGCAACCCGAAAGCCGTAGAAGTGTTTGATGTTTTTTGGAGGTCATCATCATCGTCTTCATGGGTCTCACAACATTGTCATCGAACATAAGTATGATTAAATTTGGGTGGCGAGGTGTTCATCATCTTCTAAATCATCATCTTCTTCTCCATCAGTCTCGCAACATTGCCATCCGTCTCCGAACACACCGTCGTCCCACCATGCAAATGTCATGACTTACGCAAGAAGCTTCCAAGGAGGTACATCAATAGAAATGTTGACCTAGCAACCAAGACGGCAGCTCTTATTGGGGGAGTCAATCCACGACGACTAAAAGTGCAAAAAAAAACGTCGGATTGTTCACAAATCGCACTTTTGCGGGGTGTGCTGTTGTGAAATGTGGGCTCCTCGCTGCAGCAAAGCAATAATTGTGAAGAAACGGCTTGCAAATCAGCCTTCCATTTGCGGGCCCCACTTTTGACAACATCAGTGCCTTGGAACAACTCAAAAATGCAAAAACGCGACTTCAGTTTCCAGGCTGCAGGGGTGTCTCTGCACACAGAACAGCTGAAGCATGCGTGCACCTGCATGTTTGTTGTACCAAGAGTGCGTGAGGTTTACTACGTGCCAAGTCTGTACTAATTATACTTCTTGCCATCAACAATCCTATGTCCTATGCGGGTTAGGTTTCACAGATTGAAGAACATGTTTCTGCTTGTTTCAAATGTCGCAGACTCCTTTCAAGCACTCCCTTCAAAAGCTTTTTGCATCTTACAGATGCGCACAGCTGGAACACCACGCTGGGGATGCCATACTTCTTGCCTGGAGAAGGGCACTTTCGCTGCAGAACATTCACTATCACTCTCAAGACCAGGGCTATTTGGCTTTGCAACGAGCCGCTGTGCAACCTTCAAACAAGACCATTTGCAAATTCTGCACGCAACCATTTGTCAATCCTTTTCGATAATTTCTCATTTGCAATGCGGCTTCCACATCTGTGTGCAGCCGCCTCCTGCTGCAGAATAACGTGAGCACTGCGAACCTTGGTATCTGGATGGAGAAAGACTTCTGCGAACATGTCTCCAATGGGTCTCTGAATTGTTTCACACCACCATCTCTCTGACGTCACTCAGCTCACATTGTCTCCAACTCTGCTTGGCAAATATAGCCGCTGACTCCATCCGCATGGTCAGCCAAAGTGAACAGCGCCTGTGATGCCACATGAAAGGGAAGGTTGCTGACCTGAGGTGTCAGACAAAAAGAAACTTAAAGCTCCTTCAAGACGAAAAGCACGCAAGAGAGTCATATGTCCATCCAACATCCAAGCTGGTTATCTCCGTAAACTGTCCTCATAAAAACTAGAACCTTGACTTCTCTCTCACCCCCCAACCTCTGGACTCAGTTCTCGAACTGTGCCCCCTGCTATTGACAAGGGTCCACCTCGAAGTTCTGCAAGTTTCGTGTAGTTCACCATCAGAACATCTGATCTGATGACCTCGCTCTTTTGAAACTGAACTCCTTATGTTTTTTTTGAGGGGGGTAGGCCGTAGCTGAGGGAGGTAGTAGCTAGTAGGGAGAGAGGTAGTTGCTAGCTACAAGAACGCTACTACCAACAGGACGCAGGAGAGCTCACGCAGGGAAACTTAAAACTTTCAACCAAAGCTAAGGTCCAAGGTTGGTTCTCAGGCTTTGACTGTGGCACCAGGCACAGTGCGAGAGAGTACGCGCATTGCCCGTTGATCTATTTCAATTCCAATCATCTGGCAGGGCTAAGGCGCTCATGCCACGGTCTTGGGAACGGTCGCCTGGCCTCCGGATATCTTTGCCACAGGCGAGAGGTGATGGCTCCAGTGCCCGGACTTGGCGTGCCAGAAAACAATTCAAAAGTTGAGCCCCCTTGCCCGTCTTGTGGTGATTGGCCAAAACACCATGACAGGCCCATGTTTTCGTAAGAACACGGCCCAAGTTCGATAGTTCTTTTGCCACCCTCTGATTCGTCATCCAGAGCGCTGACTGGCATATCACATGCATAAATCCCATGCACATGGGAAATAAGCAACACTGAAGAGATTTGTCTGTCTGACATCATCCAGATGGGAAAAAACGACGATATGCATATATATATATATGTGTGTGTGTGTGCAGGAATCTAGCCAGGGACACCCATCTTGAAGATGTAGTTCCTGAGGTATGCAGTCAAAGCCACATCCAAGAAACGACCCGGAAAATGAAATTGCCCGTACTGAGCGCAGATCGGATCTGCAAGGAAAGTTTGCGAAAGACTTTCTTTTGGCTTGAAGAGATCGGCAGGAAGCCTCGGCAGAGTCTGACGCCCCACGCACCCTTGTCTTTAGTGCCTCGGGTAGGCCTAGGCGTAGGATAGGCCTATGCCTAGGGTAGGCCTAGGCCTAGGATATGCCCATGCCTAGGGTAGGCCTGGGCCTAGGGTAGGCCTAGGCCTAGGATAGGCCGATGCCTAGGTAGGCCTAGGCCCAGGATAAGGGGTAGCACCGGGAGTTCTGTATGAATATAATATATGATACATTACATATTTTGGCGTCATGATGCATGATTTATTTATAGAATCCAGAAATGCCAAGAAAGTGTTCTAAAAGAAGGACGTCAAGGGCGAGTACGACGTCAAGAAGGGGCATTGATGTCCATTCTCAGGAAACCACGTCGGAGGTTTGGGCTTTTGCAGCCACGACAAAGGTTGAATTGCACCCTCCTGTTGCAGAATGCTGCAAATTGCTGTTGCATTTTCTTGAAATCCACACATGTCTCACATGCATTGGATTTGAGACCAACTTCTTGTTCTGCAAATTGGTGCCTTCTTGCCGTTTTCCCCTTCCAGGCGCCTCAGATAAGTGACACGTCATCTGCCACTTCCTGCCCATTCCTGCCCAAAGATTCCCAAAACAGCTGTCCGTCTTTCTTTGAATCCTGCTGAAGGCCCAACTCTCGCTCTGCCAGAAGAACTTCTCGATTGTTGGTTGCTCGCACCTGCCAAAGCTTTTCATTTGCCCCATTTCTCAACTGATGGAGAAGACAAATCCGCCCACACCGCTTCGTGCTGGAAATGCAAATAAAATTGAAGGCATCTGGAGCATCAGGAGCTTTATTTTGGAACAGTCAAGAAGCTTCTCAAAATCAGAGTTGGCTATAAGAATGGTTTGATGGATCTTGAAACAAGTTAGTTGATGCACAACTCTCTGATACAAATCAATGAGACTAGTGGTACTGATGACAACTGCTATGTCAAAAGCCCAAATCAATGTCAAACAACAGTTGGTTCATCTTGTTTCTGCAGTGAGGGTGGCACCCAATTGCAAAGTTGTATGCATACAAATAGATTATACACATCATATAATATGTTGGAAACGCTCTCCTGGAATCACTATACACTACAATATAATACTAGCTCTGCCTGCTGTCTTGATACTCGTGTAGCTTGCTCAATGAGTCCTGCCAGGGCAAAGCTCCATGCCTCCAGCACGCATGTCTTGTTGCAAAAAAACAAAAAAATCATACTCAGAATCCAAAGGGCATGTTTTGTTTGACAACGCCAAAGAGCACTCAATACAAGCCTTTTCGAAGTGCACAGCTGCACTCAGGAGGAAGGCTCCTAGCAACCACCTCAAACGTCTGGAGCCGGGATCCTGAACAAAGTGAAATCGACTTCATTTGTTTGTGCTCAACTTGTGTACACCCAAGTTTCCCTAAAGATCTAGGAACAAAATCATTAGTATTAGTGCGAATGCTTTCTGAGGGCGGGGGAGCTTCCTTGAGGAAGCGTGAGCTATCCTACATCCATATGTAGGAGCGTCCAGTAGCTAGGAGCGAATTTCTTCCTGACTCAACTAAGCAGGCGCCTACTTAATTAAGTAAGGCAGCAAGGCTACGGGCTAAAAAATGAAGCTGCTCAAACTTGCATCTCCTTGTTGAGACCTGGGACGACGGCCCTCACCATGGCAGTTTTTTCTGCTGACAATTGCAAAGGTCCTTTCTCAGTGTGTGTGTAGCCCGCTTTTACATGCGGTTGGAGAGCTGAGATGACTTCG